AACAAAACTCAAGAAAATTACTACACTAAAAAAAATTATACCTACTTGCTTTATTGTCATCCTTAGTAGCTTATTTAGCAAATAAGAGATTGAAAGAAGCCATCTGACTGTTGTGACCTGGATGTATGAGGCAGGGTGGGATATACAGTCTAGGCATGGCCCAGAGCCGAGGGGCAGGAGAGGCTGAGAGGAGCTATGGGTAGGGACAATACCATCCCCTCACCAATCTCCTCCTGTTTTCTCTTAAACACAGGCTGGCTTCCATTTCCTTCTGGACCTGGGATTAAGTCCCTGAATGACTTCCTGGCACCCAGGACAACTCTAAGCCTCTTACCAGTGGCCATACCAGGCTGTGATATGTGGCTTTTATAGCTATCACAGAAGTAAACTAACCCTGTGTCACGAGTGAAACTAATGCAGTGTGTATCAGACCTGGGCTCCACCTTCCACAGGGATGTGCCATCAGGATGCGTGACTATGGATGGCATGTGTTCTCATTCAGTTAGAACAGCACCCCTTTTAATTCTGCCAGAAAGAAATTTTAAGTAGTATATTTTCAGCATGAAATAGAGATTCTAGAGGAAGTTACACCTTTTATCTATGCCCTGCATAGATGAAGTGGGAAACAAAATGGGGTGGTATCAGAAAAAGAATAGGCCCTCAGATCAAACATTACGGCTTTACATGAAAAAGGCAGGGGTGAAGCAATTTCCTGAAGCTCAATAAACCTCAGTTTCCTCATCTGTCTAGTGCAGACGCCACTACCTCACAGGTTTTTTGAATCATCTGCACCAGAATTATCAGATGCCTCTGTAGACAGGCTCAGCACCAGGTTTGAATCTTTCTGTGAAACACTGAGCAAGTTTTTCAACTTCCACATCCGCACCTATCAACTGACAATATGAACACATAAGCTTGATAAGGATGTCGGGAGGGTGGATTACATTAAATCATCACTATGTCTTAACAACACAGCATACTGTGCAACAGGAATGTTTTAAAGTGTTCAAAGATAAGCCAGCCTGGTGGCTCACACATGTAATCCCAGCTACTTAGGAGGCTATCTTCTATGGACAAATCCATGGAACTTTTATCACCAGTTAACCAACAAAAGGGTAGCAGTGGAGGTGTGCCTCATGTGGTAGAGGGTCAGCCCTGATGAGAAAAAGCAAGAGAGAGCAAAGCCTGGAGTTCAAGCCCAACACTGGCAATTTTTTTAATTAATAAGTTTTTTTAATTGTGAAAATACCATACAGAGGGGTTACAATTACATGAGCAAGGTAATGAGTACATTTCTTATCTTATCTCCTCCTTTGTTTCCCCTGTCCTCCCCCGCCCCACCAAAGCTGTAAAGTTTGTTTTTTGACATAATTATTTGTACATCTCATTGCTGCAATGGGTCTACCTGTTTCCCTATTTAAATGATTTGTTTTTTTTCCCTTCCCCTCCACAAAGTATACCAACATCAAATACAGTGAAAATAGGGGTTATACAGTGGGGGAAGGACATACAAAGCAACAAAGAAATCATCTTATAAATATGTTAGAAACAATCACAAGAAAGAAAAATAAACTTTTGAATCCTTATCTTGGGGTTCATTTCACCTAACATCAATTTATCTGACCATTCCTACTTGGCTCAGACATATACTAGTAATTGCAAATAAGGGAAACCATGGGACCTATGTTTCTTTGGGCCTGGCTTACTTCACTTAATATAATTTTTTCCAAGTTTTTCCATTTCCTAACAAATGTCTTTCTGATGGAGGCATAGAATTCCATTGTGTATATATACCACATTTTCTTGATCCATTCATGTACTGAGGGGCATCTGGGTTAGTTTCATATCTTAACTATGGTAAATAATGCTGCAATAAACATAGTTGTGCTGGTAGCTTTAGTGTGGTCTTGTTTGTTATCATTTGGGTAAATGCCCAAAAGTGGGATTGCTGGGTCATAGGGGAGCTCTATGTGGAGTCTTTTGAGGAACCTCCATACTGCTTTCTAAAGTGGTTGAACAAGTTTACACTCCCACCAACAATGCAGTAGGCTTCCCTTCTGTCCACATCCCCTCCAGCATCTGTTGTTATTAGAGTTCTTGATTATAGCCATTCTAACTGGGGTGAGGTAGTATCTCAATGTTGTTTTGATTTGCATTTCTTTTATGGCTAGGGAGGTTGAGCATTTCTTAAATACTGGCATTTTTTTAAATGAGTCTTTTAACTTTATCACAGCAACCTTATAAAGTAAGATTGTGAAAAAAAAGATTGTTTTTGTGCTTCCTAAAGTCAGCTGTTAGAATACCTTCATTAAATTATTAAAGGATGTGCAATAATTCAGGAGTAGAGGGATGTCTTCATCTCAAAAGAAAAGCATATTTTCTCTAAGCGAAAGCATTGAACATATATTAGCCAAAACTTTCTAATACATAAGCAAAGTCTATAGAAGAAAAACTGAGACCTAAGTAGGTTAAACTTAAAATGAGATTACCTGGGAGGTCCTGGGATAATTCACTGCTCACTGCACAGGGAAGGGAGAGAAAGGGATTCAGGGCCCGACCTCCCACACTTTCAAGCAAACCACCTATGAATGGCACAGCTCTGTCTCACAGAGAAAGTCCCTAAAGTCAGAAGGGCTGGCCCTGAGCCCCATACACACATCCTGAGATTGTGGAGGCCGGCCATGATGAAGGCGGTCACTTCAGAGCCCCATACAATGAGATAGAAACAGCCAGCTTAGGAAGAACAAGGAAACAAAGGGACTAGGAGATGCTGAGATTAATGAGGGCTCATCTATGATGGAGATCTAGAATAAAATTATAGATTGTGAATAAATTTTTAACATTGACAAGTAAATGTTTATAGATACCAAATAGTTTAGATTCCTAAGAAAATTACTTCCAGGAACCCTTAGGAGATTTGACTTTGGTAACTGTGTATAGAATACTACCTTGGATTTGGGAACATAGTCTTCCTTGATAATAGGTGGAAGACACTGAGAAACTGAAAATAATAATGGACATTTGTTCATCAACAGAGAATTGAAAAAAGTGAAACTGCCCAGTTACCTGGGCCATCACTAAACGACATTATGCTCATTCAATGAAGAGTCACTCAATATTTTTTATTCAAATTTTGTCAGCCAGACACTGGTGCATCATACCTGTAATCTGAACTACTCAAGAGGCTAAGAATGAAGATAGAGGCTCAGGGCCAGCTCAGGTAGAAAACTGAGATTCTTATTTCCAACTAATCAGCAAAAAGTCAGAAGTGGTGGTGTGGCTCAATGGACAGAGCATCAGCTATGAAGAATAGCACCATGACCTTAAGTTCAAATCTTACTACACACAGGCATGCATGCACGCGTATAAACACAAACACACATACATACCCAACAGTGTATATCTTGTTTTTCAGATTCTCCTTCCCATAGCAAAGAAGCATTTATTTCCCAGCCAACTCATTAACAGGCAGGATTCAGAGATATAGTTACAATACACTAATGCTATTTACAGGACAAAGTTTGATGATGAAAAACTAGGCAAGCTATTCTCTTTAGTAGTAACAATTAATATACTTAGAAGAATAAGAACAAGACAACTTATTTCTATTTAGCAGTAATAACAACAATGAGCAAAGAACATTTACACAATGGAATGCCACTCAGCAATGAAATAAAGAATGTAACTACTAACACAAACAACAACACTAATGGATACCAGTAAATTAGGTTGAGCAAAAGAAAGCAAGCACAAAGAATACTATTGTATGTTTCCATTTATCTGAAGCCCAAAAGCACATCAATTAACCTAACAGCAATTGGAAAGTGGCTGAGTTCAGAACAGGGCAAATGGATTGGCAAAGGAAGGAAAGGCCTTCCAGAAGCGATGAAAATGTTTATCTTGTTTTTCTAGTACTTACATGAATGTACAGGGCTGTCCAAAACCTATCTAACCGAACACTTACTATCTGTGCCCTATTATGGTACATAAACTACAGCACAATAAAAACATATGGCTTTAAATTCAACAGTTCAAGGCTAAAGACTGACTTGCCAAAGTAATTTTCTTGAATTCAAAATAAAATATACTTTAGAGAGCACAAATTGTTTGGTGTTTAAATTTTCCATTACAACTGAAAAATAAGCAGTCACAGATGTGTGTTTATAAAAATTATGATTGAGCTAAAGGGGGGTAAACAACCATCTCAGCTTGCTAGAAAGACCACCCCCACACACACATCAACTTAGACGTGATATCATAGCAATCTGTGAAGAGCACCTCCTTCATTGCCAGGTGCTGGTGGCTCACACCTGTAATCCTAGCTACGTGGGAGGCTGAGATCTGAGGATCAAGGTATGAAGCCAGCCCAGGCAAAAAAGTCCATGAGGCTGGTGTTTCCAGTTAACCAACAAAAAGCCAGAAGTGGGTCTGTGGCTCAAGAGGTAGAGCACCAGCCTTGAGCAAAAACATCAAGCAAGAGAGCCAGGCCCTGAGCTGAAGGTCCAGTAGTAGTGTGTGCATGTGTGCACACATGCCCATATGGGTGGACACATGGACACACACACACACACACACACAATCCTGGTCTTTAGTCACTTTACTTAAGCATGATTTCAACGTGATAGAATACAACCAGCTCATCATGTTCTCACTCTGCCCACATGCACTAAGTACCTGCTGTACAGATAAACACAGCCCCTTGCTGTGTTTGAGATGTCTTCCTTGTTTCCACTATCAAAACATAAATCTAGCTGGGTTTTCCCTAGAATGGATACCCGAAGACAAACTTGAAACAGGAGAAATCAAACAGAATGTTCCCTACAAGGAATGTATATATCAAACTTGTAGGGAAGGTTGAGATTCTCTTTGAACTGTGAAAAACATATATACAGACAGACAGGCGGACAGACAGATGATAGACTAGAGAGAGATAGATGATGATGACAGATGCAGAGATATAGTTATAGATAGATACTTGCAAAGATAAAAGAAACTGTTACCTGCTGCTCTGTAAAGTATTTTAGGTTCAAAAAATATACAAGGATTTTTGTCCTGGATGCATGACAAGAGAAGTCCCTTGGCCTGGAAAGGGCTTCTGGGTATGACCACCTGAATGAAAAGAGCCAAAAACATTAGTAAAAGTGTGTCCCCAGCAAACCCACTCACTGGCAAGGGCTGATAGGTAGATAACGAATGGAACTAAAACAGAGAAGTCTGGGGTGGATTTCAGCATAATTAACACCATAAAATTTACATGTTGTTCCCCAGCCCCAAAACTCATTTCACTAAATGAATATTTATAAGATGCCTTCTATGTTCTATTAACTGAGACATATTCATCTCTTCAGGAGTTAAACTTACCTATATAAAAATACAACTGCAAAGAATAGCAATCAAAGTAAAAAAAAAATTATCAAGATTTGCCTGCATTTACTTATTAGTAAGCTTTTCTACTAATACTCTGCTACCTCCTGCAATGTGTGTGACACTGTTCTCCAGTTTCAACCTGCTCAAATCTCCTTCCTTCCCATTAAAATATACAATATATATTACAGGGCTGGGAAGGTGGCTCAGTGGTAGAGTGCTTGCCTTGCATGCGCCCTGGGTTCGATTCCTCAGCACCACATAAGCAAAAAGAAAAAAGCTAGAAGTGGTGCTGTGGCTCAAGTGGTAGAGCGCTAGCCTTGAGCTGCAGAGCTGAGGGACAGCACCCAGGCCCAGAGTTCAGGCCCCATGACTGGACGCCGCCAAAAAAATTAATTAAAAAAAACAATATATATTACATATGATATGTATAACATAATATGTATTTATGGTCTTAATTCCATCAATGGAAGAGCAATCCACTGAACTTTATGATTCAGGCACCAGCATGTCCAGTTACAGCAAGACAAAATATATGGCTACTGCACCCTTGCCACTGACAGGGAAGAGCTCTAGGAGCCTTTTGAGCTTGAGAATGAGGACGGGGAAGCACAGGAAGTACCTGTGTGTGTTAATTTGGCGCAGATCTCCATCTGTCATTCCTAGTTAACTCATGAAGTAGATATTTTAATTTTACTACTTAAAAATAGAAACCAAGGCTTAAGGAGATATCAAGAAGCCATAGCTGAGCCAAATGACAGCTATACAGCTCCTGTTTAGCTAGGATTACAGCTATAAAGAAGGCTGAGATATGAAGATCATGGTTCAAAGCCAACTCATACAAAAAAAATCCTTGAAATTCTTATTTCCAATTAATGAGCAAAACGTGGAAAGTAGAGCTGTGGCTCCTGGTACAGTTCTAGTCTTGAGCAAAAAAAAAGAGAGAGGGAGAGAGGGAGAGAAAGAGAGAGAAGGCCCTGAGTTCAAGCTCCAGTACTGGAAAAGTAGGAAAGGAAAAGAGAAAGGGACAGGAGAAGGGGAAAGGAAAAGGAAAGGAAAGGAAAGAAAATGAGACACTACCTGAAAAGTAACTAAAAAGGGGGTTGAGGGAAACTGCAGCAGGGTTCAAACCATGCAACAGTCTCTGAGGCTTGAGACACTGCATTCAAACCCCAGAACCATCAGGAAAAAAAAAAAATCAAAAGAAGCTTGCCCAAGGTCCTACTGCTTGCTCGCAAGTATGACTGTTTCTAAGATGCAATCTCTTAACTTCTATACTATGTTACCTCAAATCACAAACTTGTGTCCAATCTTCATTGTAAAATAATTACATAAAAGACATCTATTGTATAGGAAGAATTATTCAAATAAACCTGAATTTATCAGAAAGACTCAAGTAAGATTTCCTATAGCAAGCTATACCATGGCTTTCAAAGTTATTTATACCCAACTTTTATTGAAGAACTTTTATTTAAAGTAATACAATAGCACAAATCTCACTACTTTATTTTCTGCAGATTTCTGAACAATCAACATCATGTAAAGTATCTTGTATTTGTAGTTTTTAGCTTTTCTTTATCTGCTCATTTATGTATTTACTTTTAGCCATTTTTGTTTTATGAATCTTTCCACTTAAGATGGAAAAGTTTGAAAAAGAAAGCAGGGGGCTGGGAAGGTGGCTCAGTGGTAGAGTGCTTGCCTTGCATGCATGAGGCCCTGGGTTCGATTCCTCAGCACCAATAAGCAAAAAGAAAAAAAGCCGAAGTGGCGCTGTGGCTCAAGTGGTAGAGCTCTAGCCTTGAGCTGAAGAGCTGAGGGACAGTGCCCAGGCCCAGAGTTCAGGCCCCACAAC